GAAGAATAAGTAATTGTTTTTAAAAAACCTCTAAACATTAGTATATGTCTTAGAGACTTTGTTAAATAGTTTTATCACCAAGTTAAAAAAAAAGAGTTACCAAGTTAAACCAAAAAAAAAAATGATTTAAGAAAAGAAAACAAACCCACAACACTCACACTAACCAAGGCTAGAGAGCACACACACAGTCCACGGAGGAGGCACAGCGGAATTACCTTTCTATCCTCTCTAGGAAGGATAGAGCAGTCTCCAGGAGTATAATCCCATATCTTTTTGGGAGGCTGACGGGAAGCAGAGGAGGAAATGAAGAAATGAGCATAAAGACATAAAGACAAACATGGAGGCTGGCTCAAACAAAGAGGGGCACACTAGGAAAACTGTACCAACATAGAAAGGCCAACTCAAAGCAAAGGGCTGGGGACTCTGCCTGAGGACTTGAGACTGCCTGCCCCCAGGGAGGACCTGGAACCACTAACTAGGAAGTGTGTTTCTAACGACTGTGTCTCCAGAGCAAATCAGCATTAGCTTCTAAGTATTGAAAACTTACAAAAAGGAAAGGGAAAAACCAAAAAAGCATTAACACAAATTTGAACCAAATCAGAAACTTTCAAATCCCCCCTTGTTCTTTCCAAACTAAGACTAACACTGGATATTATACATTTTTGAAACATTCTTCCCTACTGTAAAAAAAAATTCATTATATGTTAACAAATATGTGAATCTAGATGTTTGACTAATGGAGGGTAAACTGAACTATATGTGCTTCCTGTAGTTTGTAGCAATAAAACCCACATACAAAACAGGCAGAAATGGTACTCTAGACAAATTCATAGTGGTGGTTTTTAATTCTCCTTTTATAGTTTAATTAGACTTTAAAGATACTATTGTCAGTAAAGACACAGCTTCCATCCTCCTTAGAGAACAGAGTTTAAACTTGGTAAGGTTATTTTTGTTTTCTACTTAACCCTTCATGTTAGAATTAAAAGCTGCATCCCTAAGATGGAAATCTTCTGGGTGGTTGTTGTAGATTTAACAATGGAAGGGTTTGGAGCACAGGGTGGTCAGAAGTTCCAAAGCAACATCCCCAGCCCATTTTCCTTCCTTTCTTCCTTTCTTTCTTTCTTCTTCTTTTTTTTTTTGTTTGTTTTTGAGACAGGGTCTCACTAAGTTGCTAAGGCTGGCTTTGAACTTCTGTTCCTCCTGCCTCAGCCTCCCTCTAACTCTGGGGCCTCTCTCCTGCCCCATGGACTTTCTTGTGCTGCCTACTTATACTTGAAATCTCTTAGACAAGGATCTCTGAGGAGATGAGAAACATCTCATTACTGAGCTCCCACAATTTTATGCAACTTTCATTATAAACAATCTTTGGAAACATTCCAACTGGTTTGTGTTGAGAAATGTGGCCTTGAGTTGTGGATGAAAATCATGTCAATTTCTGTAGAAGTTAGAGGAGAAAGAAGAAGGAAAAGCTGATATTCAGGTTCTCTGTAATGAATCTGCAAAAGAAAAGTGATCCAAAATACATTCACTACTGATGGCAACAGATCAGTAATGTCATCTCTGTATATGTGTATTCTGCATTTTGTAAAGTTAAATAATATTAACAATAGTGTTTATCTTTAGCACTTAATACATTTGGACTGTTTATCTGGAAAGTAGACTTTTTATAGTTACATGTTATCTCTACTTATTTCTTTATCATAAAAAAAAACAAAACAGTAAACAAAAAACCAAGATAGTATTTACAAATTAAATTGGTTTTAAAATAACCATCCCCAAAATGATCCCTGTAATCTTGAATTATTTGCTGCTGTGTGACAACTTGTTGAGCTAAAAGTTGTTATAGTCCGAATCTTGCTAAATTCATTTTAAGTAGCTTTAAGTGAAGTAGTTGAGGAAGAGTTCAAGGTAAAAGTCTAGTGCCAAATTTCTGGTGGACTTGACTTAGGGGAAGTGAACTCATGCTGGTGCAAATAACAATTTAAAAAAAAAAAAGGTAGGAATGGTAATTTATGTGATTTGCTAGGAGTTTCTATTTCATCTGCTTCTGAATGTTTAGAAAAATTTCCAAAGCAACTCCCAAGATTTACACCATTTTATGTCTCTTACTCCTTTGAGGTCCATAGTGGCTGAGGCAGAAAGACAAAGAAAAAATTTCTCCCTGTCATACTGTCTTCCCAAATTTGTTGGTTCAACTTGATAATAAGCCCACTTTTAGGTGCCTCAAGCCACAAGGAACTGTTTCTCTCAATGCTGTTCCTCAGGATATGGGCATTGATTAAGTTATTCTGGCAAGTCTTCAAAAGTGTTATTATCTCTTAGAGTAAGACCTACACAGAAGGGAGCAGTCTCATTAGGATTAGGAGGTCGGTGCAAGGAATGTGTGTGGCTTCAGAGAAGAGGCCATTTTGAAAAGTATCTCTAAGTCTAAATAATTAAGGGTGTGTAAAGCAATAGGATAGGAATTCAAGTTATAGGAAGGTCCCAATAAACAAATGGACTGTGTTCTCAGTATTGGTTTGAGATGGTTGTACAGTTCTCAGATCAGTTTCCCTTAGAGTCCATGTTAACTTACCAAACTATTCCCAGCTTATTGAATGTATGCTGGGAAAGCAATGATGCCTATTGTCAACAAATATTGTGTGTAACGATAGATTGTTTACAATGATTTAGAAACACAAACCAATCACAATTAACTAGGGGACAAAAGTCATGATTTTTCCTAAAAGCTAACATTTCAGTTAAAAACTAGTTCAATTATTTGACAGAGAAGATGGCTAGAAATTTTTGGCTTCTGAAAGGAATTTCAAAAACAGTCGCATGGAATCTTTATTAAACATAATGTAAATAGTTTTTGCTTTCCTGAATCAAAGTAACATATTATTGTTACATATATCAATCGTGGTGTTTTTTGGGGGGAAGAGGAAGAACTATCTGAGTATCAGAAGAAGCTTTTTTGTGCAATCATTGAGCAGGTTTTAAGAAAAAGAAGAAAAGCAAAAGGGTCAGGATACTGTTATACATTTGAATGTGGAAAAGATTTCTTGAGTACACTTGATGTTTAAATGGTGGCAGAGAAAAAAAGGGAGAGAGAGGAGAAGAAATGAGGTGTCCCCTCCTCAAAGCTTTGGGGAGGGGAGAGGAAAGGAGGGTCAGTTTAGGCTGGATGCTTCCCTCTCCACTGCTCCTAGGTGGCCCTCTTCATGGAGGGTGGCTAAGCAGCCACTGGGAGGGACTAGAAGAACAGAACATCTGTCCTACAAGCAGGATGTTGCAAGCCAGGTGCTCCCATCTCATGAATCTGAACTTCCAAAGAAAGCTCAGCATTGCTAAATCAAATTGTCAATCCCAGAGTACCAGTTTAACTTCTTTCTAATAAGAAAGACACAACAGAATGTAATCTTTTACTGAACGATTAAGTTAATTCCTGGCTGCAAATAAAACTATCATCCCAATCCACCTTTATTCAAAAGCTGGATTCCAGGCTTAAATCTCATACAAAACCTAATAAAATGTTTTCTTATGCTATCTCCTCCACCCACAAATTCTTTTTGAATTTGTAATAATTAAGGTTTTATAGTAGAGTTTTAAAGGCAATGTCTAGTCATCTCGAGTGGAAGGATGAGCTCGATTATCCCTTCTGTCTGATATTCCTTTGTGTGCAGGGCTAAGAAAATCCTTCTTTAAGTATCGAGGTCAATTTGTACAAAAGCCAATTCAGAGTTGTCATAGGGGAAGCTGCAAGATATTAGTCTGAACCCTACATTTGCTAGAATTTCTAACCTCCATTCCAAATGTTGGAAAATATTATTCTAACTTATAAAAATTGTTTCTTAAAAGTTGCCTATCATGGGGCTGCATTTATAGCTAAACCCACAGAGGAAAAAAATAACTTTTTTTTTTTGGTGGTCCATTCAGGCACTTGCCTCACCTAGGTGCTTTTAAAAATATTACTTGAGGCAGCAATCATGCTGGCCGTCCTGTGACGTAACACATTTCCCTGTTGGTCTTCAGCATGTCAAACAGACTTTGGGCAAGGCAATGAACCAATGGCAGAAAGAACGCCATCCACAAAGCTTGTGATAGTTGGTGTCAATGGGGAGTCCCAGAAGAAGCAATGGTTTAGTTGTGCTCTTTGGGATATTCTGGTCAGATATTCTTCCAGAGCTCACTGTCCTCTCTTGGTGAAGTAAAGTAAGGAAAACTTACAGGTTGTAATAAGACAAGACAATCCCACTATCGACAACCTACTTGACTGCTCCCCACTTTCTGAATTCCTCACTCATGGATCTGATCCTTTAGCAGCAACAATGCATCAACAGCATTATTTAAAAAGGTGTAGAACCACTGAAGCTATTAAACTTACCGGTTTCCCAAACTCCAACTCCGAAAAGAATTTATACCAAGGCTCATTCTTTAAATCTATCTCTTCTGGGCTTATATCCCGACTCTATAGGGGTTGGTGATAGGGAAATGGAAGAAAGAGAAGGATAACATTATGCAAAGATTACATAGGAACAGGCCAGTAGAGATGCAGTGGTTTCCAGGGATTTCCAGCAGCTGCATTCAACAGCAGCAATGGTCCATTTTTTACTGACATCAGCAAAATCAGGGAGCTAAAACAGGAGGGAGAGGACGTGTTTATGAAAACAGGGAAATTGAGGTAGGAAGCAGCATGTGACTCATTCTCAGTCCTACGGCAGAGGCAAATGGACTAGAGATGGCAAACTCTGCACCACACTGCAGCTCCTCACAAGAAATCTGAATGTGGGCACAGCAGTATTCCTCAATAATTCTTGATACTGTGGGAGAAAAAGAAAGCCCCTATTTCCTCTTGCAAAGAACTATTAGTTATGAACAAATAAATTGGTGAGCACACCAAACATTGAGCATTTATGCCAGTTGAGTAGAGCAAACAGTTTTTACAGGCTAGTACAGTTTTAGTGCTTATTTGCAAGGTTGCCTTGAGGTTTTCAAAATAAACGAAAATACTGACACTTTATAAAAGCCAATTGGTTAATACTGCATCTTTAATGGCACATGAACAGGTGAGAAACCATGTCCTGTACACAGCAAAGTGGAAGATGACATAAGTAAGAACAGAGAACACAAGTGAAAAAACATTTTAAACAAGCATCTGTGGGAGATGAGTACAGACAGAATATATTTTGTGTTCTAACAAATAAATGTTAAAGAACCAGAAAAAAATTAAGTGAGGGAAAAGCCAGACAAGACAGATAACAGAACAGGGGGAAGAAAACTTCTGGGTTATGTTACAAAAAATAAAATTTCTCATTTCATAACATAGACTGGTAACCTGATTTTTTTGGCTTTAATGTTTAATCAAATATGTACAAAGTGCTGGAACCTTACTCAGGGGAGTAACATAAACTTCTGAAAATAATCAGTTGGAAAATGAATATATAGAAAGAATCGGGTTTCCTCCTTCATACACTGGAGATGCATTCACATCAGACAAAAGTATTTGAGGTTCATGGCTGAATTAAACTCATATACGTATGTTTTTCAAAAAAACATTGATGATAATAAATAAGAGTACGATGATTTTCTACAATTGAAAATATAAAATGTACGTATTTTCTATAGGGGTTGAAAACACCATACAAGAAACAACAACCTCCGGGCTACGAGCTTAAGAGAGCTATCATGCACCATGGACAGGTCTTCAACTACCATGACAAAGCAGTGCTTCCTGGATGTGCTTTCCTCAACAAATCAGTTATCAGCCCTTTTGCAGCTTGTAGAAAAGGCTGCAAACTGTCTTGGTGATCTTTACCAGCCTCTTCTTCCAAGATCCCTAGGAGAATCTGCACCATTACTACACTTCCGTTTGTAGGTAAAGGAAGATATGAATATATGGCACAATGCCTTTCTTTAAATGAAATTAAACTAAGTTGAAATCACAGGGAAATAAATACTGAAACACAAGGTCTGACCCTTGTATACAGATAAACCTCCTACTGTTGTCTGTAGGGACCTAGGGCTCCAGTCTTGAAGGGGAAGGCCAGCCCTTCCTGTAGTAAATGGATTCTGTATATATTTAGTGAAATGAGGCATAGTGCCTAAAAAGACACAACCATTTAGGAATAACAGTTTAGACATTGAGACATGCTAGATCCTAATATAATGGGTATTCATGAAACCTATTTGGTGTTTATTATTTTTGCAAATCCTACTTTATAAACTGCTCTCTGGGAGGTTAGGATTTTTTTGTTTTTCAATAAAATGTACCAATTCTTTCAGGAAACTGTCTGAAAGTTTTGGTATTCACAGTCCTGAAAGAATTAACCCACTATATTCCTGAATGCTGTCTGCAGATTGCTGTACAGATGAGGTTAATGCTGGGTTGAGAACAGAATCAGAAGGCAGGTCAAACAACTTGGGTCCTAATCCTGCAGTTCCAAACCTCTGTCATGAGAGCTGCCCAGAGGTAGAGGTACAAAGTTGATACCATACAGCATGAACATCTGCATTTTTTCAAGTATAACTCAGCTGTAGATCCAAGTAAGGAACACATTAGTAGAAAACATCCTTCATGGTGCAGAGAAGGAACCTTGTTCCATCAGGCAGAGCACACTCCATAATGCCAGGCTCTGTTCTTTGCTGGCTGTATTTTCCCAGCTTGATAAAATTCTTGGAAAGGATGAGTGGCTTGCCAGGAAAATGCCAACTATTCAAAGATAGATTTGCTGCTTGAACAGGAGCCAGAGACCAGCTTAAAATTTTAATTAAATAAATCATCTGGACATGATATGTTCATTTGCACAGCCCTTGATAATATTCATAGTTCTGTGTCTATATTATGCCATTTGACCATCTTGCTCAGTATTTCACTAAAGCTGACAGGCTACATAATATTTCTATCTACAGATGAAAACACTGAAGAAGGTCAAATGATTTGCCCAAAGACACAGCAGAGCCAGAACTGGAGCCCAGAACTTACATCTTCCAATTTCTGGTCCAGCATTCTGTTTGCTATACTACATTCCACATCTCATACTCTGAATGAGAGGGGGCAGATCCACTGAGTTTGCAGATAAGACCAAGCAGGGCTAGTAACTAACTTGAAATGCCAAAATAAGGGTGAACTGGGAAGAAATCAAGCTGGGGAAATCCCCTTGTTTTATGCTGCAAATATGTCATGTCTGTAACTATTATTTGAAATGTATGTCCTTGTATTTTATACCTGTGACAGCAGGGACCACAACATTTAACCTGAAGTTTAGCATGTAAGAATGGTTCTATGTATCTGTTAAATTGAGCTCGTGCTCTGTAAGGGACTTCAGAGGAAAGTATAAAGGAACAAAGCCTGGAAAAGGTCATTTGTGACAAAACAGGGACCATCAAGTAGATTTCCAATTCCAAGTCCAGAAGGGAAGAAATGGACTTTTATTATATGAGAGAATGGCCAAGTATACTTAGACCTTCATGAGTCTATCAAATAGGTGAAGAGGTCACCAAGGTTGTAAATCCATGGGGCATTTTGAAGGTAGCAGTGTTTCATGGGTCTTGGTGGTGTGGATATTCCAGGGCAAGATGAGCTGTGGCTGATAAAGTCTACCACTCATTACTCTTGCTGTCAATGTATCACTAAGCCTTGAGATCATCATTTAAACTGCTAGTTAAACAAACATGAGAGTTTTAATGGGGTAAAAATGAGAATGCACATCTTAAAACAAGCCTAGATCTTACATCTGTTACTAGTTTGTATACCTACTGGCAATTAACAACAACAAGAACAAAAAAGTGTATGTTGGGGGGCTCAAATTCTGGTAAGCCAAATACTGGATTCCAAAAGGCAAGACTTACACACTGAAACTCACATTCCAGCTTCTCTGTTCATGAGATAAAAATAACAGGAAAAAAAATTTAACCATAAAGGACTAATTCAAATATCATGAAGGGCTGATTATCAAATGAGTAAGATTCAATTGAAATTCCTCTCTAAATGGAAACCTTCTCTTGGGAAGAATACAGCAATACTGGGTGAAAGGTGCTGGAATTAAATGACTGGACAGGCAGTTCCTCCCTGGTCTGTCGGTGGTGCCCACATGCCCTGGTGGACCAGTCTCAGGCCTGGTGCAACAGAGTTCCTACATGCAAACACCCAGATGGTCCTTTGGGTCTCACCAGTCCCCAGAGGGCCTCTAGAGGGCACTGTGTACCACCTTCCAAGACTAGTTAAAAAAAAAAAAAAATCAACATACTCCCTTCTCAGATGTGGAAGCTGGAGAGGAAAACGAAAAGAAAGGTGAGGAGGGAGGACGGGGAATTCATGAAAATCAAAGGGATATCAGTTGAGGAAAGGGACCAGGGTGTGGAAAGAGGAAAGAGAGTGGGAAGTAAGGGCTGGAGAGTGATACTGGCCAAATCTTATTGTTACATTGTGTCCATGTAGGAATAAGTAACAATAAATTCCATCATTGTATACAACTATGATGCACAAATAAAAAAGGTGGAAAGAGAAAAAAATCAATAATAAAACCAAAAAAACAATGAGCCCAAGAACCATGGTATGGGAGATACGTGTACCACTGTGATATCAACGAAGGAAACAAAATTATGTTGTTGTTTTCCTGGTTCTGAATAGTGATTAAATTACTAAGTCAGAGGAAGTGGAAACAAAGAAGAAATTAAGAAAAAAGGGCACACCTTCAGTAAGAGCAATAACAGCCTCTAAATGGTCACTTGGCAAATGACCAAAGGCCTGCAAAGTCCCTGAAATCTTTTAAATGTGTGATTATGTGACTGTGGTTCACTACGTTATTACATACTACATTAAGATAACATTAAGTGTTAGGAATATACCTGAAGAGCACGCTTTTCTGGGTGGAAGGGAACCTTCTGTGTTTATTATGAACGAGGCACCTTCTAACAGGAAGAGAACCTTCAGTGAAGAGGGGAACCATAGGCAAGAGCCTCTGCTTGTCTCTACATCTCCTGCTTAAAATACCTGCAGTGCATGGTAAATGCTGAAGAATGACAACTCTAAAAGCACTTCTGTGAACTGTTGACCTCTTTTCCTAATTAAAATTACTTAATGCTCTATGCTTTTGAAGATGTCACATTTTTATTGCAGTAAAAGTCAACCTGACTGTTCCTTAAAAACATGTAGAGCAGGAGAGGTAGAGGGAAATCATTTGAACCTGCATTTCAGGGGGCCTGCTTATGGTATGGTAACAGTATTTAATAAAAACCAACCTCCAGCATAATCATTCCATTCTGTTGCCACAGCCAGAGGGCTGCAATGTTTATGGAGCTTTGGAGAATCCCTTTAACCACACAGAATTTCGAACCAGCTTTTTTTAATGAAGGATGAATAAAAGGAAGCATGATTGGCAGATATGAAACCAGTCAGCTTATAAAAATTCTTCCCATTTCACAGAAGAGGCCATTTTTCCAGGGTGGTCTGGAAACAGATCATTTTCTCAATCATAATTGCTTTGCGATGTGAACTTTAGAACCAGGTTGCATATGAAATTAGTCCTCACTATTGCAGTTACCAATAAAGGAAGACTTAAAAGATATATTCTAATAGGCTGGGGCTTTTGCCTCTAGTTATAACATCTTATCAATTATTTGGCTTTTAATGATATACTGGTAAATCCTACAAAATTTATCCTTGTTCACATAAAAGTCACTTTTTAAAAAAACCCTGACTTATTCCAGTTAATGATAAGCCTGATACATTAATGGTTAGACATTTTTTTAAAAGACAGCAGCAAAATCAATCTGTATGTTAGTAGAAAAATTTAAATTAGTTAAAACCATGCACAAAATGGAGCAACGGAGCCACAATAAGAGGATTCTTTAAAAGGAGACTCTCAGGACTTATTTTATGAACACCTGCAACAATGGAAAGGGTAAAAATAATTCATTTTTTTTCATTGTCTTCTAAACAAAGAAAGTCTATCTCAAGGGGGAATGAATATAATCCAGCTGAACAATGCATCTGGATTAAAGAACATGGGCAGAGAGAGAGACAAAAGAACTTTAACATGCACATTACCATCTTTTCGTTGGTCAGAACAGAAGACTTGCCCGGCTGATATTCGTAAATGCTTTTGGGCTCTGCACGATATTTCCTCGTATCCACTTTCTTATCTGGGGGCTCCCAGTCGTTTCTGCAGACAGAAAATCCTATTTCAGCTATTGTCATGAAACCTGGCATCAGCTTTCAACACAGACTGACTTTGGTTAGCTACAGTCTAATCAAGGAATTTTTATATCCAAAGCATAAAATTAGAGTAAGGGTGAATAATTCAGTTGTGCTGGTTCATTTCTCAAAACAGCCAGTTAAATCTCTGTGTTGGTTTCACAAAGGGCGTGAGCCATCCTGTGCTGAAAATGAGGCACAATCAATTGGAGAGACGAAGAGAAGGAGAGAGGAGAAAGAAATGGTAAAGGTGACCTGGAAAAACCTTTCACCTCGCTCTGCTCTCATGAGTTTATCATTCCCCAAACATGCCTGCATCTCCCACTCATGCCAGTGCAGAGAGAGAACATAGGTCCTGGAGCTACTTGACTATGGCTCAAATACTTTTGATAAGACCTGGTAACTAGATGATCTTAGCCAAGTACTTTACCTCTTGGAACCTCAGTTTCCTCATCTGAAAAATAGGGGTCGTTGTAAGGGTTCAATGAGACAATACATGTAAATCAGAAAGCAAAGTGCCAGACCTACAGGAATTACTAGATAAACATTACCTGTTACTATGACTATGTTCTTCCCTAATCCATACCCCACCCTACTACCTGCCAATCTCAGTCTTTGGTGCATATTCTTAACCTGGTATCCAGTAATGGGTTTCAGAAGATACACAAATTCTTGGAAACTGTGTGCAAGATTTTTATGCAGGTGTATTACTACTTTGCAGTGTGGTTGCATTTTGTTTTTTGTGTAAGGCTGAAAACTTCTTGATGGCAGGACAACATCTATAACATCTGATATAATCTGCATAAAATGTAGCCAGTAAGTGCCTGATGAATGCATCTCTAAAGGATTTATGGACATATCTAGCCTACCTTTCAAACTGATTACCTAACTCCTCAGGTGGATGCCACTTAGGTATGTGTGGGGCTTTGTTTTTGAGGATGGAAAGGTGAGCCGAAGTGAGACTGAATGTGCATTTGAGGGAAAAATCATTTGAATTGACCAGAGCCTTTTTTATGTAGAGACTGGTAGAAGTTTGGGCTGGAAACTGCATTGGACATATGTCCAGATGGCATGAAATGGTTGTTCCACAGGGCACTTTTAGAGATAAGAACTAAATAAAAGAAAACGGCGGCCAGGTGTGGAGACACACTGTAATTCCAGCTACTTGGGAAGCTGAGGCAGGAGGATTGTAAGTTTGAGGACAGCCTCTGCAACTTAGTGAGATCCTTTCTCAAATAATAAAAAGGGCTGGAGATGTGGCTCAGTGATAAAGCATCCTTGGGTTCAATTCCCCACACTGGGGGGAAAAAATCGGATTGTTTAGCACAGGCATTAAGGGATGACTAATGTCACCTCTTAATAACTCCAAACCTTACATCTTGATGATACACCACATATAAATAAATAGACATGAAAAGTGTGGCTTCATTTTATTCTCTGCTATGAATATATAAACAGGGTTAATATGGACATAGAATATGAAAACCTGTGACAAATCTTGCAGTAAGACTTTTCTTATGAAAAGGTGATGATATTTGTAGTTGACATTAATTAAGTCCACACAACAAGCCAGGCACTACTAGGAATATTTATGTGCACTATCTCAGTTTATCCTTGCAACACTGAGCACAAAGCAGTCAAGGTTTTTATCCCCATTTTACAGATAAGGACATTGAGACTCAGACTAAGTCACTGCTGGTAGGTAACAGTAGGGGATTCAAATTAAATCCATCCTAAGAAAGGAGGCGCCTGGGTCTCAGGAAGTGCTGACAAGGCACTTGGCTGGTCAAGGTGAACACTCGAGAGGCACCACTTACCGTTCTGGGCTTGACTTTAGTGAGGAAGAGCGGGTAGGGAGGGGTAGCGTGGCTGACCTCTTAACTACCTTCTCACCATCAATGTAGTTCATCTCACTTTTTGAGCGAGGCACGGAAAGGGGAGATTTTGCTAGAGAAAGCAAGTGCATACAGACGACTTTATAAACCAATGAAAACGGAAACCAGAAGATGTCTTCCCTCATCCACCACCCCCCCTCCTTGTCCCCCGCAACCAGGAAACTCAGTCACTTACTGTCTTCAGAAAAGGAGTATCGGGGAGAGTACAGATCAGAATCATCATCTGGTGAACAAAAAAAGAAATGATCAGGACAAATGGGCTACTAAGGAACTGGACTGCACATTCCCCACTTCCACAGCCTGCACCGAATCCAGACACACCAGGGAACCCAGCAGAGAAAGGAGTCAAGCACAGGGAAGCTACACCACAGCAGACCACACTGAGGAGAGGAAGGTTTGCAGAGGCCACCCAACCCCGGAGGACCTGCAGTCCCGACAGGACGTGAATGACCAATGCTTGGCAGATGACCGCTGCCTATCACTGGGAAATGCATGGGGACAAATAGCCAAAGGTCTTCTTCAAGAGACACCTCCTGCCAAAGCTGGAATACAGATGCCCGAATCTGGCCAAGTGGGAATCAGGGGCTGAGATGCATCCCAGTGCTCCTGCTCAGTCACTGGTTCTGCCTGCCAAGAGCCATGGGGTCCTGACAGGTCTTCTTCAGGGGCCCTGGGGCTGCTATTGCATGGGAAGGGGAGGCCCAGAAGGTGTGGTTGCTGGCTCCCCACCTCAGCTTTGAAAGGTTTCACATTTTAAACTTCCATATGTAACATCACTAACAGAGGTTCTGCAGCAAAGAGTTGACAAAAATCCATATCATAATTTGTTTTGTTTCCACCTCAACCTCATTCCACGAGGAGATTTCTCTCCTTCCTTGGGGCACAACACACCCATGGTTGATGTGGTTACATGGCCTGCTCTGCAAAGGAACTGCCTGAGCTAAGTGTCTAAACAGTGACTCCGGAACAAGTCAAACCCATAAGAGTTTCTGTGGTACGAGATGGCTTTCTAAGGGCGTGGCACGCTTCACTAAATAAGCTTAACACTGGGGCTCTAAAATGTGCTGAATAGAGAGATGAGATCTGAACCCATTAAATGGCTGTATTTTTTTAAACTTAAAAATCAGGCCACAGGGACATTATTTTCTGGAGGGTACTGGGGATTGAACCCAGGGGTGCTTAATCACTGATTCACATCCCCAGCCCTTTTTTGTATTTTATTTAGAGAGAGGATGGCGCTGAATTGCTAAGTGTCTCACTAAGTTGCTGGGGCTGGCTTTGAACTTGTGGTCCTCCTGCCTCAACCTCCCAAGTTGCTGGGATTACAGGTGTGCACCATCATGCCTGGCCCAGACCACAGGCATATTTTTGGGAACAGATTTCTAAATTGGATCTGTCCTGAAAATGCAGGTTATTCAGTCACTACATCCCCATGATGATACTTCCAAATCATTTCTCCTAAGAGTTGCTCTCAAACAGTCATCCTCCTTTTCTAATATCTTGCTAATCTGAATTCAGAATTTATGCATATGGAATGAAGACCCAATTTCTTCCCTCAAAATTCATAACTTTAGTGAAGGGCATGACCTAACCAGCAAAGGCAAGCCAATCTAATGTGCTATGTTAATGACAAAGTGTTAATCAAGTCCTTGTTTCTACAAAAATCATTTTAAGTTTCAGAGCAGAAACTATCAGAATTTTTTTATAAAATGTAAATAAAGCTAGCATTGCTATTATTTTGAGTCAAGCAACATTGAAAGACAGCTTCTCTAACCATCTTGTGCCCTCCTTTCTCCCCATTTATATCTGTCCCTGGTCCTCAGTCAAAATAATAGACAAGAATCAGGTACCAAGGCATATTTTCATCTCTTTCCACCCTTTTATCTTTAAGGATAAGAATCAACATCAAGGTTGAACAGGGCTTCAGCTTCTTTACCAACACAACCAAGCCATTCACTATTATAAATTGAGTGCACAAGTTTATTTGTTCACTTCTAAAAATAGGGCAGGGGAAGGATAAAATGTATTTTTGGAGAGACCATACTGAAGAATTTTGTGTTCCCAGTTTTTTCATTTTTTTGTTTTTTAATAGGACTTCTGCCATGACATCAAACAAAACGAAAAATCAGCTTGGCTCACAAGGACTTGATTAGGAAAAACAGTGCCTGTCCAAAACAAAAATTAGCTTAGTGAGAAACCAAAACATTACTCTTTCAAGTCTGGCCTAGTGTTTTTAGCTCAAAACCTTGTGCCTCTCTGAATCACAGAAAAATTAGAATCCATCATTAGATGGTGAGGTGAAAGTTAATTTATAATTATTACCTGGTTCATAAGGCTAGAAACAATTCTTGGGGGGAGGGATGTCATTTAAATACTTAAAAATGATTTTTTTAAGCCTGAACTTTTTAAAGAAAAATGTTTCTCTCTAGATTCTTCTAATGTGGAATTCTAGGAGGCTTATTAGAAGACAATGAGAAGAGCCAGGTACAGTGGTGAACACTTGAATTCCCAGCAACTCAGGAGGCTGAGGCAGGAGGCCAGCCTTAGCAACTTAGGGAGACCATATCTCAAAATAAAAGGCCTGGAGATGCAGCTCAGTGGTAGAGCACCCCTAGTTCAATCCCAAATATTGCGGGTGGGGGGACACAGAAGTTGAACTCATTTGAACCACAGATGAAAACTAAGTCAAAATGAGTTATTTATCGAAATGTAATTGCTTAATAAATATAAAACTGTCAGAAGAAGAGTATAATAGAGTAAATCTTTTATAATAGTAAACCTTGTGTGAAGAGAAGCCCTCTAAGAGATAACACCAAAAACACAAACAACAGAAAGAACAAGGTTAGATAAAACAGACATCATCAAAATTAATATTTGATGTTTGTCTTGAAAATCTAAGAGAAAAAAAATTTACCCCAACTTAGGAATAAAAATAATAATAGTAGCTCCCAGTATTGTCCAGTAATAGCTGAAAATTGACTGATATCCTCTCATTTAAACTTTGTAAAAACTCCAGTAGGAAATAAACACATCATATTTCAAACAAGGTCCAAGCAGGGTAGAAAAAATTTGCACAATGAGAAAAATACAAAGGAGGAATGGATTCAAGGTCTCTTTTCCTCATGTCACCTATTAACTTGTTATCAGGATGTTGCTTCGTTCTACGTTTCACACCTTCATGTGCCCCGATCCTGGGAAAGATGAAGACCTCGAGTGTTTCAGTATTGTTTTTGTTGTGGAAGACGCAAAGGAAAGTGCTGTCCTGAAACTCAAGTACACCATTGGCCAGACCCATCTCCAGCCCTCGAAGCCTCTGCTCCACTTTTCCACATTACCCCGTCCTGAGTGATGCTTGAGCAACATTTCTGAGTTACCCCACCACACCCTTAGTCTTTTTGCTGCTGATCTCTGGGGACAATGGTAACACTGAGTCTTTTAGTTGTAGGTGAATACAACACTTTTATTTTGCTTATTTATTTTTATGTGGTGCTGAGGATCAACCCAGTGCTTCATGCATGCAAGGCAAGTGCTCTACTACTAAGCGGCAACTCCAGCCCCCGAGTCACTCTTGCTATAGTGTCTTCCATGTGCTGGTTTTTTAAACCTTCTCTGGTGAGTCTGCACTGGGAAAGACAGGTAGACAGTTAGAAACACCAAGGAATGGGAAAGTATAAGAAGTATCTGTCTGTACTCTGTGTTAGAGCTAGCCCAGGGGTGGGAGAGTACTGTGTGTGTGTATGTGTGTGTGTATGTGTGTGTGTTTGTGTATATAACCATATCTAAAACCCACCAAGTAAAGTGTTTCTCGAGTTGTCGATGAACTAGTGTTAGAAAGCCTGCCTTATTTTCTTCAGGATTCTTGAAAACAAGGCCACAGTGAAGTCCGCTGAGCTGGAATCTTATAATCGCGGCTCATTGTGGAGCCATATTTTATTTGTGCCCCTCTTGCTCTAAGCAGAAGACATCAAACCTTGGCAGCAACACTCACAACTTCCTACACCACTGATTCCAGGAAGCCTGAGCACTATGCAGGATTACAGGGGGTGAACAACTCACTTCAGGGACCTGAAGGCCCCTGCTGGGCTCTGATGTTCATGCACCAATGATTCTCCCCCGGGGATCTGGCAGTCTGTTCTTGGTAGCACAATTTAGGGACAGTTACCCTCCTAAAACTGCCAGGAGCCACATAATTGCCTTTTCAACCACACTGACTTTAAATGAGCTCCTAAATGACTTTCCCCCCCCCCCCCTGGGTTTTTGTTCATTTGTTTTTGTTGAATTTATTAAAGTCTTAAAGACAACAGGAGAAAGTACTGGTTGAAATTGATGTTCTATGAACATAATGTAACTGACCAAAATGGGCTGATGGAAAAAAAAGCAGCATTTGTATAACTACTGCCTATGTCATTACATTTCTATTTTATATACCTATTAGGTCTTTAAACCTAAAATTGCCTTTCTAGTATGAATGGCTCATCTTTAACACAGTAATTTTCCCTTAGTCAACATAATTCTTTCTCAGACTTTACCCCACATACTTAGGAAGAGCAAGGATTAAAGGGTAAAGATAGACATGTACAAACATCCCTCAGACAAAAGCAGTTAAGGAAAAGAGGAACGTACACGGATTTGGGTACAGAGTCTGTGATATGAAAGGAAGAATAAGCAAAGGAGGCAAGAAGGTTCAAAGAAGCCAGGACGTCTGGGAGCTTGGGGAGAGACTTGCCAAGTTGTCTATGATTTGATTAAAGGCAATCAAATTTGAAGGGGTAAGAAAAGGGCCAGCACAGGGTGCAGAGTAGCTGCAGAAGACATATTCAGAAAAAAAAAAGACATAATTCTATGGAAGATAGGAGGTAAAGCAGGAAAGGTGTTAGAGGGAAAAGTCTGGGAGGCCTGTTGGGTTAGAAAAGGACTCACCTCACCGTTCTCACCTCCTATCAGATCCTTGGGTCCTGAAGTTAGAAAGGGAATATAACTCCTTCACTTCTGAACTATTCTGCAGGCCAAAGACTTCTGCACTTGCTAGGCAAAAACCTTCAGAGCAGCTCTTGTAAGGAGATCAAAGGTGACCACTGAGAGCGGCTCCGCCCCTCTTCTGGGCAGTACTAGCCAGAGTTTGGGGCAGGAGGCACAAATCCTGGCCAACCATACTCCCAATAGAACGATTTGCTTGAATACAAGCAAAATAAGGCTATTATTGGAAATCCTGCAAGGCCAGTAGAGGATTATTTTAACTGATGTGCCTAAGAAAACCAGCCTCCTTAAATCCTTGCTTAGTGCAATCTTGTCTAGGAACAAGGAAAAGGCACAACGAGAGAGAACACTAGAACATCACCACTAGGAGTGCCTGTTTTTGAGTCAAAGCACCAGGACATTGCAGTGGCCACCACCAGCCTGAAGTGCTGTGAGAGGTATCCACAAGCCAGGGGGAAGGCTAGTCTCTGGGACTTCACCTCTGGTGACAGATTCCACCCTGTCAGAGTGGGTCAACTGTTCCTCAGAAGCCATGCACCACAAAGTAACCTATCCATTACTTGGTTTTGGTAAAGATTCCTAGGTATCCTTATATCCTCTGTCTTCCTGACATCAAATGTACCAAGTGAGCAAACATCATTTGCCATCTTCAGGGTAGAAAGTCTAACTCTTTTGAATCTGCATTCCTCACTCTAATTAATCCTGCCTGCATCTAAATTTCTACAACTGCATCTAGGCAAGTATCTTCATCCCTTTTGCACTCTGGGGAAGAGTGGTGCTCCTCCATTGCAGTGGTTCTCAATGCTGGCTGATTGGGACTCCCAAACACCTGGACAGCTTTCCTAAATATATCTCCCAGACACCATCCCAGGAGACACTGGCTCAGGATCCTGAGGCAGCTCTGACTTGGGGGAAGCTGGATACCCTCAGTGAGGCATCAGAGAGCCCCTGGAAAGGAGGGGCCATTCAAGGGAGTACAGGAGTGCAGCATAGTCAGTAAAAGCCCATGTTTAGGGGCCTCTTAGACCTACCTGGGTTTGGATCCTGGCTCTGCCACTTACTATGTTATATTGCATATATTAGTTAACCTCTCTGAGTCTCATGGGGTCACTGGGGGGGGGTCGAAAATCAGATAACAATAGTGATTCACTCAGCATACAGTCTAATACTGCATAGCATAAGGACTCAGTAAGTGACAGTCCCATGGTCATCGCAGTGGTGGTCATGTTACTACCCTTTACAGGATTAGTGGTGAGATATGGAGGTACTGGCTACCATACTGCTGGCCCTAAGAGAAGGAGGTGGGGAAGGGGAAAGGGCTACATTTGTGAAGCTGCTTCTCTACAGCTCTTTCTTCCCTTACCTGCTTCATGAAGCAAAGTGTAAGCACATGCAACACACAGAAGCCTCAAAGATTGTAAAATGATTGAAGGGACGGTTCCTTGCTGGGATTGACAGTGGTTTGTTTTTTAAAGTATATCTTAAACCTCATTGATCAAGATATAATCATTCTGTTATCTTCTAAAAGTCTGGCCAGACATTCACTTGTTGACTGTTAAATGCGGGGGGGGGGTTGCTAAGCTAGCATACAAACTCACACGGCCCCTTGCTATTTAGGAGAGTCAGTCTTGAGCTTTTAGAAGTGTCTTTTTATACTATATCAACAATTAAAATTTAGACAGAGGCAACAACCCTCAGGCTAGGCTCTGGTAGGTTTACTACAGATAATCTTAGTTCCAAATTCTGAATTAAAACAATACCAGCAACAAGTTTTTCCCTAAGAGACCAGTTCTGGACTATCAAGTGCTCACATTCTTCAGTAAAGCTGTTTCTTTCTTAAGGCATGTTAAAATCTCTGGGCAGACCCTCCATTAAGTGCTAACTGTCTTTAATGCCTTTCTTTGAAAGGCATAAATCTTTCCTATGTCAAGAAGGAAGTGCACAGAACCCAGGGCCACCTTTTGGGAGCAGCACCACGGACAGGGCTGGGGTACTCTGATGGAACCCACAGATAACATCTAAGCCACCAGCCATAGATTCAGAAATCCAGAGGATCTTAGTCCAACAGTTTAAAAAAAAAATGATCTAGTTTAAACATTTTCCTCATTTGTAAAACGTCTTTATCTAATGGAACACATCAGTGATCTGTGCCTGGATATGTCATCTAGGCAGAGATGGGGGCGTGAGATAGCATCTATCCTATTTTAGAAAGGTCTCCAGGGAAGATGACTTCTTAGAAACTTGTGTTAAAGTCTAATCATCTTTGTTATTTGGATGTCTTAATGTTCAACCTAATTCTTTTAATTTTCCCTTTTTTGGTCTTTGAAAATAAAAAGTATAATAAGGTTCATGTCTAAATATATGTGGCAAGTTACTTACTATTTATGCCTTGAAGAAAGAAAAAAAAAAAAAACCCCGCTTTCCTCTTGTGCCAGATTTGATGTACACCAAAAGGCAAATGTTAACATAAATCAGGGTTGAAGGGCGCGGTGGCTGATGACATGGGAGCTCTGGGGTGAGGCCATGACATCCCGTCCCAAGGCTGAGGAAGCCATGGGCACTGCCTGTGATAGGCCTAATCAGTCCTCCAGTCCAGCAGGAGACACTGTTCCTCTCCACAGGACTTCTCCAAGGGGCCCTCCTCCATCTGTGCCCATGGGACACTGTGTCCTCAGCATGCTCTGCACTTGTCACCTTACCTACAGGGAGCCCCATCTCATAAGTGGGTTGAGCTCACAAGTATAAATAAAGCACAAATTCGGAACTGTAATTAGTCACATTTATTCTAAACAACGCCTTGCCCAACTCAGTCAATTGTTTCTTCAGCAATGCTTTCAGCTAGAATCAGAACTCCCAAGACAGAAAGACTAACTTATCTATGCCAAATAGTGAGGAGGTTACGGATCAAAATTTTAAGTCATCAGCTTTGAGTTCTGGGGTTTACTCAATAGACTTTTCCTTCAAAATAGGCCCCAGGCATGATACGTACGATATTTCATGTCCCAACATGTCATCTCATATATGATAAGTGATCAGTAAGAGTCCAGTGAATGACCAGATGAATGACTTTACAAATGGTGAGAAGGGCTGGGCTGATCAGAGCAGAGCAGCTTTGAGATGGTAGCACCAGAGTTCTAAAATAAGCACTCTGGTTCCACAGTGCAAAGCTTTCACTCATTATATTCTCCAGGCATTTCTGAGGACCTGTTGTGTGCCAACAAGATTTCTGCAGCCTCCAGACACATGCTCTTGCAACTGCCCCTACAATGGGCACAGTGTGCTAAGTCCCCCTTTCCAAATCCCTGCCAGGGCACTTGATGTATTCATGGCATTATCATTGGTTGCCAGTATAGCGCATGGCACAGAGCAAGTGCTCTGAACAACTAGAATGAAGTTCAGAGCATTAAACCTACATCTCCTCCTAGAAGAGTATTTAACAAAGTTTCCTCTTCCAGACTCTGTCCCTCCTTTTTCCGGGTCACTCATCCAAAGATCAGACCATGCCAGCTACTATGATAACTCTTCAGATATTGCCCCTAACTCACCTTTTAGAAGCTTCTTTGACAAGAGGACTTTTTGCCCAAGTAAGTACACTCCGAGACACCAATGTGGCTGTGCTCCCCAGCAAGACAAATTCCTAGCAGCTTTTGTGAATTGTTTTCCAGCTTGCCCAAATCCTTATATTCAAGAGATCTCATCTCTTACCATGACTGAATCTTATATTTCGAAACCACATCAAGAACTCCCTCCCAAAGGGAGGTCAATGGCAAGAGGAGCCCAGTGACAAGTTAGTTGAATGTATAGGATGCTGAAAGAGGTGATGTGTTTGTTTTTGTGAGCCAGCAGGTCCACTTCCTGCCCGTCCACCACAATGACTCAGCTTCACCAAATCACTGCCCAGCCACCAGCACCAGATGACCACCCCCAACACCAGGTCCTGAGACATTGGTATAGGCAGCTTTTCCCAGAGCCCCACATGTTCCAAACATTATAACTGAGCTATGATGGCTACTCATTAATCATGCAAACCCTAAGGGAATAGAATTAAAGTACCATCTGGATATACTCTGGTTATAGAGTCAGCGAGGAATGAGACAATACCACAAAACACAAGGTTAGAGGGAAGCAAATGAATGGGAGACAGCCCTAAGCCACCAGGAAAAACCCCAAGGTGAAAAAAAAAAATAATAACAGCACCAGTACAAAGAGAGGCACACGGTTTTCCTTGAATTACCTTCAGATTTAGGACTAGGAGTAGAAGCAGGAAACTGGTAGGTAGGAGTGTAAGGATTGTCCTCTGTAGCAGAGAAAAGCAGTGGATTTTGAAACTATCCACCATGAAGTGGAGGCACTGACAAATTCCCACTTGAATGACTGATTACCTAGTTTAGTGTTATTAAAGCACACCAGCGTCACACTTAAAAATAGATTAATGAATTAGAAAGGACTTAGTTATTTTAATACAGCATATCATGCAAATGAGTGAAATAAAATTTTCACCAACCAAAAAAAAAATGACTATAAAAACAAAATCTAAAAGCCAAATCTTATGCCTAAAATAGAACTCTAAGAACTAATTAAAGGCTAAAACAACAGATACGCCATCTAAATTTATGGTACCTTCAGAATTTTGCTGGATTTCAGGAAGTTCAGGGAATTTGTACGTAGGGAAATAAGGGTTTTCTTCAGGAGTGTCTAGGCAGAGGAGCAGGTTTGGGAGAGAGAATAGAGGAAGATACAAATGGAGACAATGAACGAGGAGGAATCCACATACAATTTAGGCTCCTTGAATTCTGGAACATGGTAAACGTCACTAGTCACATGAAAGAAATTCAAACTGCTTTAAAAATCCAGTCCTTTTGCCTGAATTATTAAGACACATCAAAAGACACAATATCATTACTTCCCTTGGTCAAAGAATTACATCAAAACAGGCTCCAGTGTGCAGAAAGCACTTAGCGCAAAGCTTCAAGCTCTCACTCTTATGGGCAAGAAATATTAATTTTATGATAATGAGTAGTATGCAATGGAAACACTATCCTAGAATGATTTTTTTTTTAAGCGTGTATGGTAGACATTAGAATCAAGGCAAACAAGTGGAGTCTCAATTTTTCAAATACCCCTGTCTACCATTAGGACAGGTAGTTGTGTTATCACCTGTAATTTAGTTGAGTTAATAACTACATGAGAACACCAACACTGCCTGTGAGGCAAAACTACTTTGCACATATGCAAGCACTCGTCCCTGCATTTAGCCTTTCATAGCTGGATGTGAATATGTGAGAGAGTCACAGATGGCCAGAGGCAGTGGAGAGTAACTTTAGGAAGTGACCAGTGGAAATGACCCCATCGGATCACAGAGACCCAGCATTTAGCATGGCCACTATGAATAAGCTCATCCACCCAACCACAGTCGATTTAGTCTTGATTCAGAAAAGCTAAGTACTGTTTCTAAATATTTAGAAACACTTTGAAGAGGGGCATACCTGGTTCATTTTGAACCCAGCAAGAACTTACTAACAGTAATGTTAATTGACATCTGCAGCTAATTAGAGAACTTGGATATTTGTAGCTTACACAGGAATACTGACTAGAACACTCTTTCTTTGCCTTCATGTACCATCCATGCCAGGCGGTCAGACTGGATTTGGGAACAGGGAAGGACAGGATGCTCTGCCCACAGGAGGACTGATACCCTGCCCATGGTGCAGCTACATCCCTGCCTATCAGTTGATTGGTGGCACAGGCGGCAATGGGAGCTGGTGGGGTTGTGACCTGCCCGAGCACTGGCCTGGGGTTCTCCCACCATGCTGGGTCACTGGCTGACAGCCCAGTGGGCCTTTAATTGGGAAGCACCTGTTTCAGCTTGAGCAGGCTCTGGTGTGTCAGCTCTTGACTGATTCTCAGGGCTACCTGCCAAGGGCTGGCTGGCAGCTAGGGGTGCTTATTTTTCACATTAACATAACCTTAGAGGTGCACTATGCATCATTATACCTTCACAAGGCCAAACACTTTCTCATGTGGATCCTGCAACATTTCTCAGAGGAAGGAAGGCAGGATAAACACAGAGAGGCACGTGACTGGCCCAAGGTCACATGAGTGTTTAGGGGAGTGAAACTAGAAGAGTTTTTTTTTTAATTTTTTAAGTTTATTTTTTAGTTGTTGATGGACACAATACCTTTATATAATTTATTTATTTTTATGGGATGCTGAGGATTGAACTCAGTGCCTCACACATACAAGACCAGTGCTCTACCACTGAGCCACAGCTGCAGCCCCGAGAACAGTTTTCTTAACTCAGTTCTTAACTCAGATTTCTCAACTTTCTCTACTCATGAGGCAGTCACGGGCTGACACAGGACATACCTAAAGCTGGAAGCAGGTGAGAGATGGAGTTGCTCGCATCTTAGGCAGATAGGTGCTGGAGCTCAGGCAGAGTGCTAGGCTCAGCCTGCTGCATTCCACACAGTTGGGAGGGAGGACTTGTGAGCTGACCTCAAATTATAAAGCTGAGGTGGGCATACAGGTGCACCCTCCCTCCTGTGCTCTCAAGGAGCATGGCTGGATTCAGGCAGATCAGTACCTAATGGAATCCAACTGCAGGACCCAATCTCCTGGAGTCTAAGCAAACTAACTTTAGGATGATACTCAAGAGTCAATATGGGGGCACACAGCACAGCACAGCTTCTACAAATGAAAACCAGTACCTCTGTTTAGTTTGTGGATCTGCTTAAACATGGTCTTGTACCAGTCTTTTGATCTCTCAGTATTCTGGAGAAAAACAAAGGCAAAGAATAAGATAAAATGGAAATTGCACATTTCAGAACTTTTATGATTACAAAATCAAAATCAGACAGGAAGTGACATCTTAAGTCAAAACTATTGAAAAAGAACTAGGAGATTCAGACAGACATGAATAAGCTCATCCACCCAATCATAGCAGATTTAGTCTTGATTCAGAAAAGAAGTACTAAGCATCTCAATATTTAGAAACATTTTGAAGATATAGAAACATTTTGCAGAGTGATAGTTGGCCA